CTTGCTCGGTAAGGCGCGAAAAATGTACTTTTGTTTGTTTACCGAGAAATTAGTTCATTCAAACTGGAGGGGGTTTAGACAGACCCGGTTCAATGGGTGACATTTGACGGCCAAAACACCAATCATCTTGTCGGGGTTTCCAATATAGTGCGATTGGTTGGATTCATTTGAAGTTACGGCGTATTCACTTGAAGTTACAACAGATTCACTTGAAGTTGAAAAGGTATAGATGAGAAAAGGGTGTTGGGGGTTCATGCTCCGTTTTATGCACAAACTGTCCGCTGTCCAGGCCAGAGGAATAAAAGTGTCTGGACCAGCGTTTTTGCTTACTTAATCCCGGACTGAAAATGCGAATTGCAATCGCCTCGGTGGTGGTTAAAAGCCGCCTTCTCATCCCCTTGGAATATCTCCGGGGTATAGTGTAAATAATTTCGAATGCGTCCAATTTGTTCACAAGATGCCCGCTATCTACGAGATGACCAGGAACTGAGCTGCGAATCCATCTAACCGTTCCTTTGTAGAGGGTCGCAGCACCGTGTTCAGCAATACGTTTTGATAATCGCCTGATCGTGTGTCCAATGTATCGCACACTACAAGTGCACGTGGAAAGATATAAAACGAAGGACTTGGACTGAAGAAGCAACTTATCTTTAATTTGCTGGGCCGAGTGAGGATATACGGCTGAGCTGTCGAGGTATCTGCAATAAACGTCGAAATGTTGAATAGTCTCTCTCAAATTTTCATTCTCCAGTTTGGCTAGGAAAATATTGGCCAATAAGGGACCTAGTGGAGACCCCATGGCTATCCCTCGATTTGTCTGTAGAACCGGTCAATGTACAAAAACTGTTCTCACCCCCTACCCACGACTATCAGTAGCCTTGTCATATTCGTTTGCTCTGTTTTCTCGTCCCTGTCATCGTTACCAACCGAGCTCTAATCGGCCAATCCAACATCTGTACGATGATCACCTTATATATATATCGAAAAGAAATTTCTTCGCGAATACGGTTTTCCACATAGTCTATGGGGCTATTTCAGGATTATTTTTCTGTGTTGTAATACTATATCCCTGTATGGGAATTGTGTTTTTTGTGGTATACAGCATGTTAAGATGCAGCGAAATTGTCCTGGACAAGAATCGTGGCCTTTTTTGAAAGTGATATTCAGCTATCGGTAAGCAAAATCGGTTTGATATAGGCTTCAGCAAATTTCAAGATACTCCCTGACCAACTGAGGTAGACCGCCGTGTGGTTATTTGAGATTGTTCTTTGTTGGCAAAGAGGACCAAATCAGCTACTTCAGTCAATCTCCTGCTATGTCGCGCCTCTCAGAAGTCGCATTTTCCAATGTCTTCCCACTTTTTCGAAAACCCAAACCAGTCGTATGTCTAATAGTGTAGTTTCTGACCGTGCGATGTCTCCCCCCCCCCCCCCCAAAAATGTCGCAGTTCCTGATACGTACTCTCTTGGTCGTTGACCGATGTTCAGGACGACCATTGACCATCAACCCTGAAATGTCGCACTCAACCAATGGCATTGCATCTAGTATGACGCGTTCATGGCACTATTCACTGATTGGATAATCCTAGAGAGGAAGTCACACCGTAGCAAGTGATCGGAGACAGCGTCATTTGACGTCAAAATGTGCAAGCGCCCATCAATCAGAGAGAACCAGAATGTGTTGGAAATGCTGAAACAGCCAGGTGAAAATCAGAGCTCCGTATACAAATCACTTGGAATTTCACGAAAAACTGTCTACAATGTTGTATCCCACTGAACGACTACCAGCGAATTTTTGAACGCTGGTGCATCTGGGGGAAGATGCCACCTGAAAACCAACGAAAAGGCAGTGAATGAGGCAACGTTTTGGCTTGGTTTACCGCTTTGAGGGAAAAGCACGGAGAGTTCCCAAAGGAGGAGAGCATCGTACGTAAGAAAGCAATCCAGTGAATAGTGCCATGAACGTGTCACAGTAGGTGCAGGGCCATTGGTTGAGTGCGACATTTCAGGGTTGATGGTCAATGGTCGTCCTGAACATCGGTCAACGACCAACGACAGCTGTTTTAGCTATAATAATCACATCATTTTTAACCCATCTAAAGAAAATAAAGGTGAACCAGTTCGAATACAGTGAGAAGGAAATAACATCTAAAATAAGTGAAATATCTGTTACGGGGTATATTCAGAACATTGACTTCTTTCCCATATTCAAACTGATTGTTCATTGTGCAATCTATTCATGATATTTCTATTGAAAAATGTGTATCATTAACGTCTTTAGACATCTATTCGTTCGTTCGCTTCTGTTGTTACCAGTGTCTGTTCAAACCGATTGATGCATTCGTCATGATCGTTGTTGGTCGGACTAAGTTCAACTAGTGATGCCTTAACGTGATTCATAAGCCATACCTTTTTCAATTTAAGAAGTCATGTTGCTATGTGGATAGTACGATAGTCCGATTACTCCATCGGTCAACGACAACACATATTCCCGTAAGTATTTCCGAAACGAACATTTGAAAGACCAAATCACGTCCTGATCCATTGGTTGTAACATCGAAGAACAGTTCGGAGGCAGCCGTACAAGTTTGACGTTGGAAATTACTGCGGCTTGGTCATGGCATAATATCACAGTCAGTATATCCGTGGGCCTGCCTAAGACTCACGGTTGTAGACAAGATGTGGTTTCTCGCTCGGCTTAGCTGGGCAAGCACCAGGTCCCTTGTTGCGGCTGGACCATTCGACCGATCGATAAATGAACCCGATCGGTCGTGCGATTTTCGAGCCGACACCGGAGAAGGACAGGTTCCGAATCAGATGGTGTCTAAGTGTTGGCAGAGAATCACCACAAGAGATTCATAAGCTAAAAGTGCATCTCACAAACTCTCCTTAGACCCGAGTTACGATGACCTTTGGCAGGTGACCTGTTTAATTTCATCGGTGCTCTAGGACAAATGAGAGTATCGTTCATTCATTCACACAAGCTTTTTCTATCTACACCTCGGAGGCATCGTGGTGTTTGAAACTTTCCGATCATCAAGGGTGATAACTTTTCTCCAGTCATGCTCCCACAAAGCAGCAACTTGACTCTTTCTTTGGATTTCTTGGACCCAGAGACTGTCTTTCCTTTCAGACTCAATGCTCTTTCTGGGAGTTGCCTAAAATACAAAGCTGTTTCATCCACATTGAAAATATCAGTCAGCATATACTTGTATCAACTGCAGTAACCCCGCTCGAAACTCGTCCACTGCATCATATGGTACCGTCAAACTTTCTCCACAGACCTATAAAGTAATGCACATGAGTTGCTTGTTTCTTACTTTGTACGATTGAATATCATATCTGTTTGACCAAAAGCGAAGCCAACCTTCGGAAGCCTTGAAATCATTACGATTGTATTTTTGTATTTTTGATTCAGATAGACTACCTGCTACGGATGGACGGAAAAAAACAATGCTTCCAAATGGTGACTATTTCAGTTAAATATGATGAGCCTCGACCGTTTCCAAAGAAAGTTTTCATCATAAGATTATACGGGAATAAGATTTCAAGCGAATTCTATATGCGAAGTGAAGAATACGGTGGGCAATAGGCATACCTGAGTGCCTTGTACAATGGGCGATGCCAACCAAAGAACGTCAAGGGAGGCATCACCAAGACGAGCAGAATCGAAGCTCCAAAAAGTGGTCCCTCAGCGCCCATTCTACCCACAATGAAGTAGCTCAACGTTCCGCCCATATTGATCAGCAAAAGCAGCGCATAAGCCAACCATAGTCCATAGCCCATTTTGGCCATCCAACGACAATCTGCAGGAATATCTGCCTCGAAATCCTGACGAACACATGGCTTACACGGGCACCATGGAGCCAATGGCGGCCAATTGTGTGGAGCTGATTGGGAGAAATGAACCAATTTGTAAGCAAATCTGAATAAATATTTCGCAATCACACACAAATAACGGTTTATGGTCGACATTTTCTCAAAACACGGAAAGGTCCGGACCGAATACCGATATGAGTTTCCTTTGTACCCATCACTGGGTTAGCATGCTTCCGGTTCACCACAGAAAATGGTGTTCGTCAGGGTTGCCTTCTTTCTCCTTTTCTATTTAACTTTGTCATAGATTTAATTCTTGAAACAGCCTTATCATCGTGCGAGGATAGTGGCATCGATTTACTCCCAGGAGGCAGACTGTCTGATCTAGAGTATGCAGACGACATTGTGCTACTAAGTGAAGATCCAGGTAAGTTGCAAGCTTTTTTCGACAGATTGAATGCCAGCGTAGCGTAGGTGCGTTTTGCACCTTCAAAGTTTAAAATGTTACTATGGAACTGGGTTAGTCCAGCACCCAGACTCATTCTAAATGGGGAAGTAATACAGCAATTGGATAAGTTTTGTTATTTGGGCAGCTACATCTCACCCGGTGGACGCATCATGGATGAAGTGTTGGCTTGCATACAGAAGGTTCGGTTGGCATTTACCAACTTGAAACATCTGTGGCGCCGTTGCGACATCCGGCTGTCTGTGAAGGGTCACGTGTATGCCGCGACAGTTCGGCCAATCCTGCTGTACGGTGCAGAAACCTGGCCATTAGGAAAACAGGATAAAGACAGACTGTCGGTGTTTGAACACCGCTGTCTAAGCAGCATTGCACAAATCTGGTGGGGCAGCCGTATGAGCAATGCTGAGGTTAGGCGCAGAGTTTTGGGTATCCGCGGTCGCCTACTGGAGGAAGTGGTCGACCTCCACAGATTACGTTAGTTGGGACATGTGTTCGCCGAAGCAGATACGAGTGGAAAAAAAGCCAAGGGTGGTCAAGCTAAGACCTGGAACGAGGGTATGAAAACCCTAATCAGGAGTCTGGGTCACATAGACCCTGTTAGGCTCCCTGGCTGGGAACCTCGGGATGATCGTAACCGATGGTTAGGGACACTGAGTGACATGACTGGGTGACGCAAACAGTGGCATTCTTGCATCTTTTCGATTTCTTTGAAGCCATAGTTTACTGGATTTCTCAATTTTCCTTTTCGAATCTACCTTCAACTTTCCTGTTCTTCTCCTATTCTTCATCCAAATGGGCAACCAAACCGGCACACGAATATGCGTGGTTATTGGTTGTAAAAACTGAAACGGAAGCACTAGACTCGAGTTTCGCTCTTTTCAGATATCATCAGTAATGCATATCCACTGTCCCGTCCGGGATTTGAGCTCGCAAAGTGATAACGCACACGCCTTCCACGCGATGGGTCCGGAGTTCAAATCCCAGACGGGACGGCAGAGATGAAATACTCATGAGTTCTAATAAGAACGAAAATCGAGTCCATTGCTTCCGAGTGTATGGTGGACTGGAAGAGCTAAGGAATGTGCACGAAGGTGAATTATGAAGAATGGTCAGTTCCAACCAATAAAGTTTTATGCAGCTTCCATCTGTTTTCAAGCCGCCGTTAAATGGTGTTTCATATTCAACTTTAGGTGACTTCAAATATGCTCACGTGGTCAAGGAACGATATCCAACATATAACTTCCTAACATTCTGTTTAGTTTGCTGTTGTTATGAAAGCTGAAATCCTTCTCTACGCTTAGAAAGCATGAAATAAACAGTACTTTGGTTGGGAAAATATATTCACATGGAACAGAACTTACGGGGTCCGGCTTGGTAAGAGGCCATTCGAGCCTGCTGTTCTTTCTCCCGTCGATCCAGCTCGGCAGCCCGAGCTTCCAATTCCGCTTGGCGACGTTCAAGTGCCAGAATAGCATCAGCATTCATCATCGGTTGTTGTTTGGCTTGCGATACAGGTGTTCGTGAATCACCCATACCCATGCGATATGTGGCCGGATCCTCTGGATCTTGAGTGGGTAAAACAGCAGCACCACTCGTACTGCGTTTACCTACGAGAGATGCAAAATTTGCAAATTATAAAAAAACATGTTCGCGTGTGACAAGACAGGAGTGTGAAACAAGCCATGCGGTTAGCTTTTGGCCCCTTATTACGGGTGGGATAGAAGAATTTTTTCGACAACGCACCATGGCAGTTCGGGTTTCTGTGTCACTATCTGATCCTATCAGCGAAGCCCGAGATTCACAGGGGTCCGTGCCTGGCCCTCGACGTCTTTTAGCTTTAGCAAACGATCTAATGGACATCCTAGGGCTACAACATTAATGTTTGCAGATCACGTAAAAATATGGAAAACAGTGACAAAACCTGTGGACTCACTGGCACTTCAGAAAACATTTAATGTTGCTTATCAGTGGTTGATCGAAAATGACATCGAATTCAATGTAGGGTCGTATCTCTTCGCCACAAAACGAGGGTTCTGTACTTCCTGGGATAAAAACAATTTCCGTATGCCTCGGATGAGAAAGATCCTGGTTTCGTTGTTCAAGACGACCCGTTGTTCGTTAAACTGCTGCAGGGCGTCGTCCACCGCCAAAAAACATGCTGGTTAGCTAAAGCGAGTATTTGGTAAATTTGAACCTATGCCATTCCCATGTTTGTTATCAGTCGACATCTAAATCATCTATGCACCAGATCCAGCATCCATGTAGCCTGCTGGAATGTTAGAACAGTGCTAGACACAGGAAGCCAGTGTATCATGATGCGATCACTGCACGAGTACAAGGTAGACATCTGTTGTCTGTCCGAAGTCCGACTACCTAACTGTGGCACAAAACTAACCGACGTACCACATAGCAACGCAACCTACCGGTTATACCACAGCGGCCCAACTGACAACTCCGGTTTGCACGGGGTAGCAATCGCCGTGAGCGGCCGGGCCAACAATGCCATGATTTCCTGGGAACCAATCTCT